CCCTGGAGAACAGGAGTAGACTAGAGAGCAGACACGCCTTTGAAACCTTCCTTGCTTAGGAGCATGTGGTCTGTTGCAGGGGAAAGCTCCAACCTGGTGTCTTTGGGCTGGCTTGTGTAGGGAGAGGAGGGGTCGTCTTCTCCTTGCCGATGGCCCTGCCCAACTGCTGCACTTAAACCTGCACCRACAGCGTTTCAAAAACGTGTCTCTGAGTGCCCTGTTAATCCTTGGGCTGCTGCTCTTCCTGCAAGGGAAGAAGATCCAGCTGTAAGGGGGAGGGATGGGGAGGGAGGATGCGGTCCCTCCCGTGGGCAGCAGGATTGCTCCCACAGCTGGGCCCCATTGCGTKGGTCTGCCCCACGGCGTTGTCCGGCGCTGCCCGGCTGTTGTGTCTGCGCACGCTGCCTTTTGGCCCCGCAAGGTGCAAGCGACGATTAGGGTACAATGCACCACGGTTGTTCGCAACTTCAAAGTGAAAACGCTCAGCAGCAGCAGGCTGCCCTGGAAAAAAAGATAGGGAAATGGCTCTTTCTTGCCAGGGAGAGGTGCTAACTGGCTTTTCCCGTCTCCTGGCTTTGAGGTTTGTTTTTTAGTTGGGGTTTTTCTCTTTTTTGGTCTCTTTTTTTCTTTCCCCCACTCCCTGCAGTGATTGCTGGCTGCTAGAGAGCTGTGCAGTGCTACACACGAGGGAATCCAGTAGACACGTGCAAAGCCTGTAGGGAAAGGTGGTCAGAAATATGCTGGCAGAGGGGGGAAAAAGGTACCTTGAAGGAACAGCGATAGGAGGACAGCCTGGAGCTCGTGCGTGGAGTCCCTGGGGCCCAGGTGCATGAGGAAGGTCGTGCTCAACTGCTGCAATAAGGCTCTCCCCAACCTGKCTGCTGCCGGGTGATGCCCGTTGAGTTTGCTCAGCCCAGGCCTTGCCTGCAGGTAAAACCCGAGCTGGTGGCTGCTGCAGGGACGTGTAGGCCCCTGGCTCCTCTATCTGGAAGCAAAAAGTGCAAAGAATGGAAACAGRGCTGCGCTTTTCGCGCTGGGAAAGCGGCAGGTCCGTCTGGCTCACCTTTGTGCCACGTGAGAGCTGTTGCTGTAGCTCTCCCCACCCTGGTAATGGAGGGCATTTGCCTTCCAAGATGCCCCCCTTTTTTCACCCCCAGCCCCTCTTGTTGCTGGTTTTGCTGAGCCCAAGTGGGGGGAAATGCGCTCTGCCCCGATCCAGGTGAGCCAGGGCAGCGGGACCGTGGAAGAGATCGGATCCAGTTTGCAGCCTGCTGCAACATGCTGCRTGCCACGGCGCCATGGGTAAGCTGGCACCCAGAGCTCCCTGCCTCCTTCTTAGGGATGTTTCCTTGGTATTTCTTAAAGGCAAACYGCGTGTGTGACTTCAGAGGTTGACTTCTATTCTCCAGCGAGCAGAAGACACTTGAGCAACCTCCATTGCTCAATAGGAGACGGAAAACCAAGCACTCCCAACGTGTTCAGCCCTCGGAAGAATTTCCGGCTGTGTTGGGAGCAGAAATGGAGTGGGAAACAGAGCCTCTCCCGCTGCCTTCTAAGTCTGAGCAGTGTCCAGCTGCTCTCTCCTGATGCAGAGGAGATGGTCTGGTGTTAGGTGCCCTCTCGTGCTGGCTCAGCAAGGAGGCTAAAGCCAGGAGGACTGCRAGTGCCTCATTGCTCCTGGCGATTCCCAATGTTGGTCATAGAGTTTCCATCCCTAATGCCTTCCAAGTGCTCCACCAAAGCTTCTGTTTCCTTCCCACACCTGTGGTCTTGTTGCTGGCAGCTTCTTCTCTTCCGCTCACAGAAGACTCTTGACTGTGGAGGATGGGAGCTAGGCTGTAGGTTGGAGGGGATTTTTTTTTTTTTGAGGAGATCCCTTAAAATTAATGTTGAAGCAGTAAGTGCTGGTCCCCTACGCTGTGTGAACCGAGGTGCTGATTAAAGCTACCTTTTTAAGAGGAGTCTGTAAGAAGAGACAGATCAGCAAAGGGCTGCATGTCCCAAAGCAGCCTTGCCCTTGAAGCGGCAACACAGTTTGGATCTCTGCTACCTAAACTTGGAAGCATCTGTTTGAACATGCAGAGTGGCGAGCACAAAAACTGCTGTGTGGGAACAGCCAGGTTTCCTCTTCAGTCTTAATCCTGTAGGCAGCTCTGCTTTAAACGCACACAAAAACGCTGTGTGAGGCCAGCGTGGCTGCCCGGGGGGATCAGCCAGCTCGGAGGCAGCMAGAGGGCCAAAGGAGGCCTGGAACTGGGGTCTCCCAGCCAAGGTGTTGGGAAGCAGCAGACACAGCCATCTGCAGCACATCTGTCTGCAAGGTACTTCTCCTTATACATAGGGGCTCTTGTGTTATAAAATTGGGACCCCACACTAGTGATTTGAGGGATTTCTCCCCTTCTTCCCCGTCAAACTACCACAACCCCTGGGGTCAGCCACTTGCATCTAGGCCACTTGCATCTGGGTGGTGGCAGAGAAGCATGGGGGAAGCTTGGCACTCGTCTGGAGGCTTTGGCTTCCCAGGGGTGCTGCTGGAGAGAGGCCATCAGGAATTACAGCAATCCTGTCTCGGTTCAGCACCTTTTCCTGGTGGTGCTTCCTGGCTGGCAAGAGGCAGGAATCACAAAGTCTTTTTCAAAAAAAAAAAAAACCCAACAACAACAAAACCCTCTAGTGTCAATGTGTGCTAGAAACTTGTCAAACTTTCTAGTAGAAGGTTGTTGTGTACCAGCCACCAGCTTGGGCTCATACGCAGGCCGTTTTGATGGGTCAGCCCTTTCCTGTTACTGAATATGCGCTTGTTCATTGCAGGGCCTGTTTGATGTAGTCCCCTGGGCTCAGGCAGCTCCAGCCCGTGGCATTTGCAGCAGGCCCTCTAGAAAAATATCTTGCATCTAAAATAGGTGGATTGGGAGGGATTGTGTTTGCGGTTTTGTTCTCCTCCCACACAAAACCCATGTTCAAATCCTCTGCGTGCGCTCAGGCGCAGGACTGCTGAGCACACAGGCAGTGTCCCACAGCAGCGYGCCCAGCGGGAGCGGGAGGACAAACTGGCCCCGGATTGTTTGGACTGTGGCTCACAAAGGGACGGGCTGGAAGGATGAACCTGTCTGAGAAAGTGCCGGGTGAAGGCCCAGGCTTTTGGTGCTAATGGAGCAAGTTTCCAGGCTCGGTGCTGCCACGTGGATGTGCTGCCTTGAAGCTGGAAGAACTTTCCAGAGGTGGTATCTGCTCCATGTGTTGCCCTAGTCCCTCACGTGTAGTGCTCTATAATTAGCAGAACTGTACAACAAAAGACCAAAAGCCACAGCTAGTGTGTGCTGAAGGAGGTGATCTGGAGAGGACAACATTGCCAAAGCTCCTGGTTGTGAGTGCGTTAACTGAGTAAAAGACCCAGGTGATGCCTGGAAAGCCAACTGTGATATAGAGGACATCAGAGAAACACAGAAAGTACTTTCCATGTTCCTGTGTCTGATCTTAGAGAAGATTGCTGGGTGAGCAATGAGCCTGTGACTGGCACACCACAACCCCGGGGCTGCAAAGCTTGTCCATGTCTAAATGGAGACTGTGGCATGGGCTCCGTACTGAGGAACTCTTGGGTTCTTCTCCTTGCTGGAAGATGTGACTGTTGTTGGCCTTATGGTAATATTTGTGGTGGGCCGGGGACACTGTTCTGCTTGAAGGAAGGTTGTCCTTGTGGCGTGAAGTGTCTTGGCGCGGGGCAAGTGATCCGTGGCAGGAGTTGGTTCCTCTCTTCCATCCATGCCGGAGCCCAGCAGCTGCTTCCTCTTTTCCTGGCGGGTCTTTTGGGTGCCTCTGAGGCCTGGACGAGCCTCGCCTTGAGAGCCACGAGTTAAACGCTCAGGATAGTCCACGTCTTTCCAGAAAGTGTGTGGAGCAGGGCTGTGAGTGCCCATCTGCCGAGTCCCTTCCCCCTTGCGCCGCAAGGGCCTTCTCTCGGGAGCGCGTGTTGGGTTTCTTTGCCCGGTGCTGCCCGCTCCTTCCTCTCCCAGCAGAATAAAGCTGTGCTTTTTCCTCCCCAACACTAGCTCCTTGTGTGCTTGGTACCAAGGAGAAAAACTTGGTGTCTCGTGCGCCGTGTCTTGCCCCTGCATCCAACCCACTGAGGATCCCGTGTGGTTCTTTGTGCCCTGGGCTCAGCCAAGATGTCCTTCTAGGCATCTGAAGGCTTCTCCTGAGGTTCCCTGCATCATTCCCGCATTATTGGCGGGTTTGCCACGTTCCTGGTGGCACCAATGCGCAGGGTTGGTTTGGGGCGAGGGGGCTCTGAGCAGGGGACGAGTGTTGTTGGTTTGCAGGGGCCGCTTCCTGAGGCCTGGAGTTTCTGTTCCCACTGAGTAGGGGAATTTGTAACCTCTGCAGCCCTGGCCTTTCTTCCTCCTTCACGTAGGTCAAAAAAAGGGGAAAAGCTGGTGCTGCAGCTGCAGGAGGTGTCGAGGCTGGCTCTGGGGAATGTTCCCCAAACCGGCCTAGCAAACAAAGACCCCGGCAGCTACATCCTGGGCCTGAGAAAGCCCGAAATCCCTGCGGCCCTTGTCTTCCGCCACCTCTGACAACTATCCAAAGCCCAGCAAAGAGAGCAGGGGTGCCCTGAATGTTTGCGTGGGCTTCTTGCCAACCCAGAGCATCAGACCCCAAAGGCAGCTGGAGTACTCTCTGATCCCCCTGTAAGGGGGTGCATTTGTGGGTCAGGCTATGTGTTCTTCTGCTTTCTCTTTGGCCTTTTCCAAGGTGTCCTGAGCTGTGGATTGTGGAATGTGAGGGTCTCTCTTCCCACTTTCAGGGTGGGCATAAAACAGCAGAGAGACTTGGAGGAGCTGTCTGATTCCCCCAAACAGTGTCTGTTTTGTTGCCCATCACGGTTCTGAGCTTCGAGGGGACGCAGGGAGTGTAAATGCAGACCTATGGGATACAGCTGGATAAGCAAGAGGGGTTGACACAGGCCGGGGAAGGATGTGGGGAGCGGAAAAACAGAGGAAGCGGAGAACGCGCTCGGGCTTCCAGTGCCGCAGGCAGTTGTGGTTAACTGCAGGGTGAGCGCCTGGCCCGGGGCTGCTGCGGCAAAGCGGGGTCTGCYGGGCGCAGGCGGCGGGAGGAGGAGGTGGGATGCGCAGGGTGGGATGCGCAGGGAGACCCCGTCCCTGCTGCGGGGAGGCAGCCGGGGCCGGCCGGCTGCGCAGCAGTCGGCGCTCGGAGATGCTGCAGCCGCGCTCGGGCTGACTCACGCGCGGTGGTCACAGCCAAGTCAGGCCAGCGCGGCCCAAAGGGGAAGAGACGCTCCCCGGGGACCGGTGTAACGTCAGCTCTTCCAGCTTCGCAGGCAGGCAGCCCTCCCCTCCGCTGCCAGGCCTGCCTTGCCCTCCCTTGTTCCCTATCGGCACCTCCGCAGATTGCCGGTCAGGTACGGAGCGGGCGGCGCGGCCGGCCCGCAGAGGGCTGGGAGCCGCCGCTGACCTTGGCTCTCGTGGCCGGGGCTGCCGTGCCGGCTGCCAGCTGGTGCCGCAGTTATCGCTGCCGCGCTGCGCTGCGGCCAAGGACTCGCGCGACTGAGGAGCGGGGGCTGGAGCGGCCTCTGGGGCTGCGGCGTCTGGGGCTGCGGCGTCCGGCGCGCCCCGCTGCTCGAGGCCGCGTGGACACCCGGGCGCGCAATGGTCCCTGGGCAGGTGGCCACCCAGCCCCGTGGTGGCCGCGGCTTCACAGTGCCAGGAGGCACAGGATACGTTCGTGGTGGCTGCTCTCAGCCCCGGCGGCCAAGGCAGAGCTCCCTGATCGAGTCCATGGGCTTGCTCCTCATGTCCTTAATGCGAGGCCTTGGGGTTTGAAAGCAGTCTCCCTCCTCTGGCCTCCTCCATCCACAGGCAGCTGGCGTCGGGTTYGGGGGCTGAACCTGCCTCCGAGCGAGGGCACGTCTGCCGTGTGCGACTCTGCCCCGGCTTGCCGCAGACCTGCCCCCTTTGCTGTCCTCCCGCAGTCCTCAGTCTGCTCCAAGATCGTCCAGCTGCTGGGCCAGAACGAGGTGGACTACCGCCAGAAGCAGGTGGTGATCGTGAGCCAGGACAGCTTCTACCGAGTTCTCACCTCGGAGCAGAAATCCAAAGCACTCAAAGGCCAGTTCAACTTTGACCACCCAGGTAAGCAGGGAGCTACAACCAAGGGCTGGAGTGGGACCCCCCTGACGCACTTGGCTGAGCCCCCGTGCAGCTGGTGCTCCCCAGAGTAAGGGGTAATGTTCCCTCTCTCCTCAGACGCCTTCGACAACGAGCTCATCGTCAAGACGCTCAAGGAGATCACGGAAGGGAAGACGGTCCAGATCCCCGTCTATGACTTTGTCTCCCACTCCAGGTTTAACAGCTTTGCTGGGCCTCCGCTAACGGCCTGCGYGCCTCGCGCCGGCCACGAGGGCTGCGCCTGCAGGGAAGGCACTTGGGAGCCTCTTCTAGGTGCCCTGTGTGTCAGCCCAGAGCTTCAGTGCTAAATACTCCGTGCTACCTGATTAGAGGGTGCGGGACAGGCTGATCTTCATGTGAGGGCCCAGAAAGCCGCGTGGCCATGTGGTTGCATCCCACGTGCAGCAACGTACACGTGGTAGTGGAGGAGGCCTATGGGCCCCCCTTTCCTTCCCCTAGCCACCCTCTCTTTCCTCAAAAAAATCTGTGTTTGCAGCTTTAACAACTATTTTGGGCTCAAAGGCATCAGAGCTGCCAGGAAAGGAGGAGGAGGATGTTTTTTCCCCTGTAACTCTCCCCTTGCATGCAGTGGTCTTGTTTCTCCCTGTTTGCTTTGGGTATGGCTGGCCCTGCTTCACTTCCCGCGGAAGCGCCCCAGTGTCCAAGGAGCATTGCCTGGATCACTGAGCAGGCCCTTGCAGGTGCCTGCAGGTGCAGCCCTGTTTTCTGGCATGGCTTGGGAGTCTTGCAGGCGGCAGCTGGCCGAGGGGAGGGAAGAGCCTCTTCCCGCTCTGCCGTTCACCCTTCTAGGAAGCATTCGTATGCCTTGGATTCGCTCTGCTGCGGTGGGGTAGGTCTGCTGTCCCCTCGCTCGCCTCCCCGCTGCCGCAGTGAAGTCCTCGGGCTGGCGCAGCGCCTGGGAGCACCGCGGCTTCCCCCAGCCCTTCCCCAACCTGCTTTCCCTGCCGCCGGCGTGTTTTGACTCTCCTCCTCCCTGCTAGGAAAGAGGAGACGGTGACCGTGTACCCCGCTGATGTGGTGCTCTTTGAAGGCATCCTGGCCTTCTACAGCCAGGAGGTGCGGGACCTCTTCCGCATGAAGCTCTTTGTGGACACAGACGCGGACACCCGGCTGTCCCGCAGAGGTGAGGCCCTCGTGTGACCCTGCTTGCTAATGTCACTAGCTACCTGGGCACCGGCTTGCTGGGGCACTGACTGGAGGCTGGAGCAGAGCTGTAATCAGTACGAGGATTTGCTGGAGCTAAAATAGAGCTAGGGAGGTTTCCACCCCTAATTGCACTGGGCAGCTCGTGGCTGTCCCTGGCTCCCTGTGACGGCTCGTTCAAAATGTGGAGCCTGATGGATCTTGCTCAAAAGGCAGYGCCCGCGGGGTCTGTGGAGGACCTGGCATCCGGGCGCGCTCTGAGGGTGGTGTCCAGGCATAAGGGTGTTTATCCAGCATGGAASAGATGGGGAATTTGCTTGTACTCTTGCTCAGTGCAAGCACAGCCAGTGCAGTGTGAAGTCTCTTGTCCTTGGCACCAAGCAGAGGCTGTAGGGGCAAAGAGCCCCCGAGAYGAGGACTGCCAGTGTTCAGCCAGCCTGGCTGCAGGTTGCCAGCTGGAATAGGAAGGTCTCCAGTGCTTTGTGGCTTGAGATTCAGTTTATTGCTAACTGCAGGATGAGTGTTGAAATCAGCCTTTAGGATGGGGGTCACTCATGTAACTCACGAGTGTCAGACTGAGAAGGCATTTGAGGACTGTTAGGGCAGAATCAGGTGTGTCGGAGCACTCCTTCCTCCTGCCATAAGGGATCTGCTGGGCAAAAGATGGCATGGAGGAGAGGTCTCCCTCACACCTCAGTGCTCTGACAGGAGAAGCATGGAGTTCAAAAGTCCGTAAAGTCTTCCAGGACTCTGAAGTTCAGCCTCAAACTGCTTCTGTGCCTAGGATTATTCCACTGGCACAGGATAGGTCTTGCCCTCCTGCTATTCTACGGCYTCCCACACCGTTGGGAAGCCAGCAGTCCTAAGTAAAAACTACTTTTTACACATCCCTCTTGACCCTGCCCACTGCGCCTGCCTGACTCATCCAGGGAGGTGGCAGCACCGTCATTGCAAGGAGATGCAATAGCAGGTCATGGACACGCGTTTCTGGGATCCTGTGGAGTGAGCCTCGTCCTTTCCTTAACAAAGCAAACCCAGGAGCTCGGGTTCCTGGCCCAGCCGGGGGTAGCCCACGTGTTTGGCAGCGGCCCACGGTTTGGCAGTGTTGGCTGATGGATGAGGAGGTGTCGTCCGTGTGTTTAASTAGCACTGCAGTGCAGCACTGCGTGACCGTGCGTGGAACCTGATCACTCCCTGGGGCGTGCAGGGCTGTGGTTTCGGGCTTGGTTTGTAACYGTGAGCTCGGGACTTGGTAACCGATAGAGATCACCTTGAGTAAAGACCAAGATCGCCTGTCTGACRAGCGTGATGCAGAGCTAAACCTCGCTGTGCTGCAGCTGTTGGACAGGATCCCACGTCACCTGGAATAAGGCCAGTCCAAGGGACTTCTCTCAGCCACCATCAACTGCAAAAGCTTTGCAAGGCAGCAGTGGGGCTGCTGCCAGCTGGCTGAGGGGCTGCCGTGCCCAGGTTAGGGCAACTCACCACCTTGAGGGGGGGAACTGACCCCTTGGCAGTCCCTTGGTGGGCCTCCCAGAGCTGCAAGGACCGCAGCAGCATCAATAGTCTCCTTGCTCTACGTCTCCCTGGCATTTCTGAGAAAGGAGACCTCATTTGCGAGGTACTGCGAGAGCAGTGGTGTCCCTGGAGTGTGGCCGGAGGCGGTTTGTAGCCAGCACAAGTTGGGATCCCGCGTTGCGACGCGGCCCTGAGTCGTTCTGCTCTGGYGGAGCCGCCGCGAAGGGCTCGCGAGCCGCCTGGCAGCAGGAGGCCGCGTTCCTGGAAGCAAAGCTCACGGCTCCATTAATGGGAAGCCATTAATGGGAAGCGCTGAGGTCCGATACGCGAGGCTCACATCATCCCCTTTCCCAGGAACCCTCCCATGACAGAGGCAGCYGCCAGGAGCAGAATCCAGATCTGCCCGATGCCTCGAAGGGCCAGCCCTGTGCCGAGCTGATTCCAGCTGGGCCAGCTTCCATAAGCTGGCAAATGACTGAATTGGGCGTCGCGTGTCTGGTTTAGGCCTGGTTGCAGCGATGTGCTGCTTGGGACAGCACCACTGTGTCCTTGGGGCATGGGAGAGCGATGCCTCCACAGAGGGACCGTGGTCCTAGCCTGCGAGTGCACCCTCGCTGGGCGGCCTCCCGCCCCGCCACAGCCAGCAAACAGGGTGTGGGGCCTGGGAAACAAAAGCCTCCCTTGTCTCGCCTCCTCTGTTTTCCCTGCCTTGTTTTTTCCCCATGCTGTTTGTGCCGGCGCTCGCTCCCGGGCTCCGGAGAAGCCGAGGAGCCGGCCAGAGCGGCCGGGGCCGGGCAGGCTGGCGCGCGGCCCCGCGCACGGCACGGCACGGGTGGCACCGTGGGGAGCGCTGCCATCCCGGCTGCGGAGCCGCTCCGGCCCTTACGCCGGGCAGCAGGGATTGCTCCTCGCGGTGCCTGCGCTGCAGCAGCCGCCAACCAGAGCTGGCTACACCCCCCGTGCAAACTGGGTGCAGGTCCCCAGGCAGGCCCTGCTCATCTGGGGACAGCGTGAGAAGGCCCAACAGAGCCGACGGGTGTTGCTTTCCAGCTGCAGTTGGACTGTGCCTTGAAGTGTGCGTGGTGGGAAGTGCACAGCTTTTCTCCTCCCTGGGCACCTCCTTGCTGGGACCGTCAGGAGGAGAAGAGCTGGTGCCTGCAGCAAGAACGGAGAGTCTCATCTTGGGTAGCCAGGGTGGAGGGACAGGAAGGGCRGTCTGGGACACCTGGGGGGCACTGGTTGCTCTGGAGTGTGCTTGGAGAGCTCACATAAGGGCCGGAGGCCAAGAAAGCCCTTGGACGTTCAACTGCTCCTTGGCTCCTGGGAAGGCTTGGAAGTGACCGGGAAGCATGCTGCTGGTCTGGGATGTGCTTGGACAGGTGGACAGCAACAGTGAGGAGCAGGCACCAGGGGGTGGTCAAGGCCCGTATATTGGGTGAGGGGGACAGCMGTTTGACTGTGCCTCCCTTCTTCCCTCCAGTGCTACGAGACATCAGCGAGCGAGGCAGGGACCTYGAGCAGATCTTGTCTCAGTACATCACCTTCGTCAAGCCTGCCTTCGAGGAGTTCTGCTTGCCAGTAAGCAYGAGGGGAGGGGCGCACACTGGAGCCTGCCCCAAATGCCCAAAACGCCTTTCTGCCYATCCCAGCCACCCCGAGCCGGGAGCTGTGGGCGCCCTGGAGCTCAAGTCCCCCTGCCTTGGCCTYGTGCTCCCCTCGCGGGTGCTGGCAGAGCCCGAAGGTGGGGATGTGGGTGCTGGCCAGCGCAGGGCGGGATGGGGACTGTTTATGTGGCCGCTGCTTTCTGGTGAGATCACTGTTCCCTGCGGAGAGGCATCAGCACCCCTCCCTGCGCAGGCCCTGCCAAGCCAGCACCAGGCAGCTCGAGAGATGCCGTGCCAGGCCTCGGGGAAGGGAGATCCCTTGGGAGCTGCCGGCTGAAGCCAGGTTGGAAGGCAGGAGCTCTAGCAGACAGGGGTTTTGCACCTGGAAGACCACTGCAGCCCCAGGGAGCAGCAAGTTTGCATGAGCAGCTGTTGCAAACCTCCCCTGTCTGCTGCGCTTGTGGGGTGAAGGCTGCACCTTCGCTTTTGAGGCTTTTCAGGCAGGTGGGGTGATTACCAGCAGATTGCTTATCCTCAAGAGGCCGAGCCAGCCAAGTGCTGCAGCCAGGGGAGCGGTGGCCAGCAGCACAGGTAGGAATTGAACCGTCACCTCCAGCTTCAAGCCTTGTCCGTGGAGATATTGCTGTGGCTGGCTCTGCCCTTTCCCAAAATAAGAGGGATCTTTCCTGTGCCAAGAGATCCATTTTTCTGGAGCCCAGAAGGTGCCCATATTGCCAGGCAGCCCTTTCTTCCCTTTCTCATGCCTGTGTGGCTCTGGGAATTGAGGTCCAGTTTTTGGTGTCAGGCCTAGCAAGCCTCCTCCTTGACTCCCCAGCAAGGTAAACGTGCCGCTTTGCAAAGCAGCAAACACAGCGGCAGTCTCTCCTGCTGAAGAGTCGATAGGAGGGTGAAACAAGGAGGGCAGAAAACATCTGCTTCATCCCCAGGCGCTGGCTCTGCAGCAATTGCAGAGGGGTGAAGGRCAGGCTCAGCCTCCACAGTTCCTGTTACCCAGCTCTGGGTCTGGCTGCTCAGCACTGAAATCCACAGTCCTGTTTTTKGGGKTTTTTTTTGCTGTGGCTGGGAGCACCTGGAGGTGTTGAATGACAGCCTTGGCCCGGCATGTTGGCTCATGCTGCAGTGTGGCTGTCAGGGAGCTCATCAGCTGCAAARGCAAGTGTAAAAAGAGGAGGAAGCTGCTACGGCCTCTTCAGGTGAAAATAGGCAGGACTGGCATCCTGAAGTGGATCTTTTTTGCCAATATTGCTGGCATAAATGCCCCCATCCTGTGCAGATCGCATGTCCACCCAGCTCTGGCATGTCAGGTCTTGTTTGTRTACCAAGTCGTGCAGGATTCACGGAGGAGGTTGTTCCCCAGAGCAGCTACACTTGGAGCCTTGCGATCATGAGGCTTTTTTTAATTTCAGGTTTTGTTAGGGTGATGTATCCCTTACTGGAATTTGTTTGAGTTCATGGAAATAGAGCCAAGGGGCAAAGCACAGCCCTCAAAACAAAGATCAAAAGGCAAATGGGAGCATCCAAACTGCAGTAATAGATGTCTTGGTGGGTTTGGGCTTGATGAGGAGGGATGCCCCATGGAGCAGGGATGATGCCCAGCACGGCAGCTCTCCGCTTTCCCTGTAACATCCCGCTTTCTTTCCTCCCAGACCAAGAAGTATGCAGACGTGATCATTCCCAGAGGAGCAGATAATGAAGGTGAGCAGCCCCAGACCCTGCCGTTGGGTCCTGGCAGAGATGACACCGACACCCGCAGGGGAAAGGTGCCCTGCGAGGAGGGGAGGGGGGGGGCACAGCAGGCTCGTTTTCTCTGATGAGCCTCCAGCGTATGGAAAACGATCCTAACGCCGTCCCTCCCCTCTGTCTTTGCTCGCAGTGGCCATAAACCTGATAGTGCAGCACATCCAGGACATTCTTAACGGCGGACTCAGCAAACGCCAGAGCAACGGCTACCTGAACGGCTACACTCCGCCCCGCCAGCGGCAGCCCTCAGAGTCCAGCAGCCGGCCCCACTGACGGCGGGCGCGGGGCTGGGCCGCGGGCCCCTCTGTACATACTGTCTGTCCATCCCCCCCTTATCTATTTAAGAAACCAGACGGAGACAAATGCCTTTAATTTTGTATGTTGGAAATGCCGATGGAGAAGCAGCCGGCCGCTTGGGAGCCCGGACCGCTCGCAGCTCCCGGCCTTGCTCAGTACCTCCTCCAGCACGGAACCGGCTATAAATCTCTATAAATATAGAATTGCTCTATTTTTGTGTAAACGCAGAATAACGTAAAATTACTTGCCGCAAGGTATTTGCCAGGYGCGGTGCCGCCGAGAGGGGACTGGAAGAGGGTCCGGGGAGATGTGGGGCTCAGGATCCTCGCCTCGTAGGTGAAACGAAGAACRTCCGACAGCCACTTCGGTAGTGCAGCGACCTCCGTCACGGGGAGTGTTGGGCAGTGGTGGTGACGGTCTGAGCGTCRCAGGCACTTGGGGCCTGGGCTGGGGTTGCCTCCTCCTGTTGTTCAGGTCCGAGCAGCTTGTTTTTACCCAGCAGCTACTGCTGCCACTGGGATTTTAGAAAAAAAATGATATACAGTGTCTCCCCTGAGCTGCGTGCTGGGTCTCGGGTGTCTCAGCAGCACCTTGGGCCATGGCTGGCGCCTCTGGTGCAGTCCCTCCGGCCGGGAACTGGCCGTGGTCACCTCAGCATAGTCACAGCTGCAGCACTCTTGGTGCCTGGCTTGGGTGGGGATGGCACCTATGGGGAGGGCCCTTCTGGAGCAACGTGTGTGTGCTGGGAATCCTGGCAGTGCCCTCGGCTCGAGACCGGAGGCTGGGCTGGTGGTGGCCCTGCCATTCCCCACCTGGAACGGTTTGCCCCCAGGCAGGGGAGGTTGAGTCGAAGGTTCTCCYGCCATGTGCAGGTGAAGGACACAACCTCCCTGCCATGTCCCAAGCTGCCAGGCCAGGAAGGGCACTTCCCCGCTCGGGATAATAACCAGGCTCCCCTAATCTGGTAGTGTGGCACCAGGCATCGCACAGCGTGGGACAGGAACTGGCACAACTCCTCTGGGACCAGCTTGCCCCAGCAAAGCCGCTCTGCGGGGTTAATCTGGGACCCCACCAGGCCCCGAGCTGGTACCCTTAGCCTTGCTCCTGCGGGAGCGTCTCTCCTCCCAGCGCATCGCTCTTGCTCTGCATGGCTAAGAGCTTAGAAATCCAGTGTCCAACCGTGCCCCAGCCCCAAGGGAACCAAGAGAGGCTTTGGTTTTAAGCAAGAGGACAAAAAGGGCAGCAGTTTCCCTGTCACCTCGGGAAGTGCCTGCAGACACTTCCCAACACGTTCCAGCTGACACTGTCTTGAGTTACTGCAGCGCGTTGCCCTAGGGAAGAGGGCTCTGGTGAGGTGTCCCAGGGCCTCGCTCGGCCAGGAGAGCTCCTGGGGTGAAACACCAGTCTCCCCSCTAAATAAAGACGGGACAGAAGGATGGCGGCGCCTCTCGTCTCCTCTGTGTTGGGCCAGAAGCTGCTGCTGGAGCCTCTGGTTTCAGCGCCCYGGTGAGTCCTGCACCCCTGGGGCTGGGGCTGCCCCTGCGAAGCCCTYGGGGCTCCCCGGCCACAGAGGGGGCAAGTTCAGCCCTTGGCAGGGGGACACGAGCAGCGCAGCAGGCAACGGAGAGACTGGTTTGCAAAGGCTTTGCAGTGAGTCTTATAAAGGCCTCTCAAGCAGGGGCAGGTTTAAATCTGGAATCAAGAGCTAGGCTTGGCCAGAACCACTGTAAAACCTGCCCCAAGGGCCCTTACCTGCCCCAGGTGGATGAGAGTGGTATAGTCTTTCAGTACATATATAAATATATATATATAAGCGTTTAAAAATGTTTAAATTTTTAAATTTAAACTTTGCTGCCGCCAGGCTCCCCCGTGGCCAGCACAATTCCCTGAAAAATTCCCACAGGCCGGTGCTGCGCTGCCTTGCATGGGTCCCACTCCGGCCGCCAGCCCTGCCGGCTGCACAGCAGATGCACAAGAGCTCTGGGAGGAGCAGCCAGCCCCTCTTCCCAAGAAATCCCCTCCTTTAGCCTCAAGACGGGCGGCGCTGCCTCGGATTTTTCACTTTTCCTAAGGCCTGACCTTTTTCATCTTGCAGCGAAGCAGCAGCCCCAGCAGAGAGCAGCTCTTTGGAGCTCGCTCAGCCTGGGAGGATGAGTCACTTTGGGCAGTGACAGCAGTGACCCCCCCCTTGCTCAGCTCCCAGGGGAGGCACTGGTGCTGTCACCCAGCAGGTGACAGGTTTGTGACCTGCTCCCGGCCAGCACCACTGCTCATAGCCCAAGTCCCCCTAGGCTGGCGCATCATAATGCGAGATGAGACTCAGCTGCCTCTTGCCAGGCTCTGTCCGGCCCTCCCAATCTCCTGACTCGTTAAGCTAATGACTCATTAAGTTCTGCATAAGTGCTAGCAGTGCTTGGTGGCTCCAGGGGAGGGTATACCTGGGTCTTTTGGCTGTGCTGAGTTAGGGACTGGTGTGAAGTTGTGGAGCAAAGAGGASAAACAGCTGCCTAAGGGTGTGGGTCTGGCTGGGTGCTGGGGAGGAGTGGGGTGGTCATAGGGAAGCCCTGAGCCCTGCTTGTTTCAGTTGTTAGGGGGTGCCAGGATCTGCGGCTTCTGCCCTTCAGCTGGGCACAGGACCTTGCTGCTTCCCTGGGCCAGCTCTTGCTGGAGGTGCAGAGATGCTGCAGCTGTTATTTATTTTATTTATTTTTTATTTTATTTTTTATTTATTTTATTTTTTGGTGGGGGGAAGGAGGGGAGGGAGGTCCTAAAGATCTCAGTGGTGGAAAAGTCACATAGCTGCTTGTGGAAAAGGAGTGGGTATCAGGTGGAACCTATGCTGAGCTACAGTCTCTCTTTACCCTTTCCCCGTGCTCCTTGAACTGGCCCTCCCTGCTTAGTCCCTTTTCACTCCATCTCCGAGGGATTTGCTCTCTCTTTCCCGTCACTGCTGCTCTGAGAATCCCCCACTGCCTTTGACCCTGCTCCCAAATGCCTTCCTGCAGCCCCTCGCCCCACGCTGCTGTCCGCTCCCTCAGCCCTGAGGGTATTTGCTCTTCCGCTYCTGCAGTCAGCAGCATTCTGTCTCTCTCATCCATCTCGGACTTCCTGCAGCCCAGATTTTCCTTCTGTCCTCAAATCTTGCTGCAAAACAACTTTTTTTCCCCAGCCTGGAGTGGCTTCCGTGCTTGCTCCATAGTGCTGCCCGGCGCGGGCTTTGCAGGCAGCTTTCCTGGCTGCAGGCTGCCCTTGCCCTGCACGTGGCTGCTGCGCACCCTGAACACGCTCAACGCCGTCTTCCCATGCTTAGTGCCTTTGTGGACTTCACCTTCTTTTGCATGAATGCTCTTAAGTGCGGGGGGTGCTTTTATCCCCCATYCCAGCACGCTGCCCTAGTGCGCCGGACTCCAGGTACGTCAGGTTCTGCTCCGCTCAGTGTTTCCCCTCTGGCAGGCCCCGCTCTCCTGCGCCGGCCGCGCTGCAGCTTGGGGAAGCCGGAGAGGTTGGAATCCCAGCGGGCCTGGAAGCTGAGCTCCCTCCGGCAGGCCTGGAAGCTGAGCTCCCTCCTGCAAACCCCAGCGGGGAAGAGGCCAGGGACATCGCCTGCTGCCGTGGACACGTGGGCTGCGGGGTGGGCAGGTAAGCTCCAAGCCTGACGGCACGAGCTTGAAGACGTTGCAGACTGCCTACGTTTTAAATGCTACGTGGAGCCGACTAGTGCTTTGGCTGCTGCGATCGGATTCACCGGTGACCATAGGCAGGTCCTTTGCTGCCCGTTGGACACASAGGGGCAGAGGCAGATCCAGGGCTCCCTCTGTGCCAGGGCCCTGCTCCCCAGCGTGCCCGGAGCATCATCGCAAGGCCGGCAATCTCCCAGCTCCCCCAACCAGGATGACCATCYGCTTGGGACTTGAATATATCTATAACTCACGCTGCCACTGCAGACAGTAACTAACAACAACAACAACTTTAATTAACAATTATGCCRGAGTCAGGCTTGCCAAAGCAGCCGCGAAGCCGAGACCCTCTCCTCGCCTCACGGCTCCTCCGCCTTCCTTTTCAAYCCCAGGCGCATGGCGTCCTCCTCCTGCCAGAGGCAGCGCAGGCGCCGCAGGTACTTGCTCATGAGCATGACGTTCCCCTCCACGTGGCCGAGCACGTCGTAGCTGCTGTAGCGCCAGGACTTTGCCTCCGGACCATCCGCAGCTCCTCGGAGCATCTTCTGAAAGTGAGAGGGTGGAAAGGGCTTACGGAGAAGCAACGAGCTGGGACAAGGAAGCCTTGGATTAAGGAAACCTGTGGCGAGCTCTCCTGAGGCTTCCTGGCCTGTGTTGGTCTTGATTTCCCCACCTAAGGGGTTTTGGGCAAAGCTCCCCCCGCCCAGCCCAGCGTCCTACCCTCCTGCGAGGCTGTCGCACGAAGTTGCCGAGCGAGTGCACGAGCAGAGCCGTGCTGAGCAGGCACGGAGCCTGCCAGACCATGGAGAACGCGCCGGCCGCGTCCAGCCAGGCCAGGCCTTCCCAAAGCAGCTGCACGGGGAAGGGCAGGAGCCAGCGCGGCGCCTCGTCCCCGTGCGGCGGGGCTGGTGCCGGCGCCGGGGCCAGGGCCGGTGCCGAGGGCACAGGGCTGCCCCTGAACCTCACGCGGCCACTGCAGTAGCCCAGCGTGCCGGGRAGCAGCGCCAGGGCGCACAGAGCCGAAGCCAGAAAGCCAAAGCCGAGCATCGTTCCCCTCCGGAACTCGGATCCCAAGGGATGAGCAGAGAGGAGTYCGCTCAGGACCGCTACCGTGCAGTGCCGGTGGCGGGTACCGGCGCTGCCCAGCTGCTTCCTTTTATCAGCGCCCTGCTGCTGATGTCAGAATGCTGCTGTGATGCCACAGAGGCGCCGGGAAGGCGCCGAGCCGGGAGGCCCATCCCAGCAACCTGCCCAACATCTCCTGGGCAGCATCGGTGTCCTCCCGCCCCAAACCTCCTGCCGGGCAAAAAGGAGAGGCCCACATTAATAGGAAGGCTGAGGATTTATTGTTAGCTTGATCGAAGTCTTCACAGTCTGGAGTTTTATTAGTCCAAGTTTACTTCTTATGGTATAAGAAARCAGAGCGCAAAATGATCAAAGGCTGCCCTAAACAAAAGGCTCAGGAGTGAAAATATACCTGAAATTTGCCAATCTGCTTTCAGCCYTTGCTCCTCCTGTACTTGTCTTCAAGTTCACATTGCATCTCGTTGTACTTTATATGATGTGTTTTCTATTTGCAAGGTGCTGCTTCTTTGCCTCTAAAACCAGTATTTCCAGCTCTGCATACATGTAAGGGGTTTATGGGATCAGCACAGGGTTAAGGAACAAGCAAAAAGGTGAAAAGATGAAACTGCCYGACCTAAATGGAGCAGTTGTGGGTTCTTTGCTTTGGGAGAAGTGGGGCTCGGGGAGCAGGCAATCCCATGGGAAGTCGAGTAACTGACTCTCTCCTAGCTCCTCCTAGCGGCTTTTCTGGAGCATCGTTGTTGGTTTTGAACGTGGGTCCTCAAAAATCAGAACGCTCTGATGGTGCTCTGTGTGTGTGAGCGCATCTGCTTTTCCCTTGCCCTGGGATTTTTGGCTGGCCTCTTGTCGCAGTGGGGCAGGATGTTCCCTCTGTCGGCCAGAAGACCCCCCTCTCTCCTACGCTTTACTTTAGAAGTGGAGGAGTTGCAGATGCTGCCAAGTGAGCGCTATGAGCAAGCTCCCTAACGCTGCATCCTGGGAGGAGCGATGCGAGAACGTGGATTGTGCCTTCAAACCCTCCTGAGGGTGAGACGAAGCTAGTGGAGCCTTTGTGAATTAAAGACCAAACTGCTGTTCTTTGAGCCGGGGTGTTGTTTTTCTTTCCCGGGTGACCCCCCAGACTCCTGCGTTGCTCTGTGCGTTACTTGCAAAGGGGAACATAGATGCCCATGGCCACCCATGGGGACGTGGCTGCAAAGGGGGGGTCCTTGAGATGTGGCCATCCCATGGTGACATGTCTGCCCACTGGGCACCCCCTTGAGATGTGGCAACCCCCCAGGGACACAGACACCCATGGGCGCCCCACTGAGGCACCGTCACCTCATGGGGACATGGCCACCCCACTGAGATGGGGTCACCCTGCGGGGACGTGGACATTCAAGGGCACCCCTGTGAGACATGGCCACTTCATGGGGACATGAGCGCCCCACTGAGACAAGGCCACCTCGGCGGACGTGGCCACCTTGGTGGACATGGCCACCTCATGGCCACCCAGTGGTGACACGGTCACCTCACAGACACCCCCCTGAAGCATGGTCACCTCACGGGGACATAAACGCCCCCGGCTCCCCCATGGGGATGTGGCCACCCATACGCAGCCCACCGAGATGTGTCCAACCCCGCGGGACCACCATTACTAATGGGCACCCCTACGAGATGCGACCATCTCATGATGATGTGGACACCCCCCTGAGATGCGGCCACCTCACGGGGACGCGGCCGCCCCGTGGGGACAATGGCCACCTCCTGGGAACACAGCCACCCCACGGGAACGTGGACACCCGTGGGCACCCCCGGGGCACCTCGGGGGGGGGGG